GAGGCGGCGGGGCAAGGAGCATCGGGGCAACGGGCGTTAACGGGGGTATTCTTTGTGTTTCCTTTTTTTCAGGCGAGGAGGAATAAGGATCCCTTATTTGGGAGGCTGTCGGGATTCCCGCCACTCCCCTTCCTGCCTGTTTGTTTGTACATGGAGAGTTGTGCAACCCCTCACCTCAGGGCCTGAGGCTCTGAGGAGAGCAGGAAGTCAGACGGGGTGGAGGGGTTCTGGAGGCAGAAATGAGCCCGAGGAGCGTGGTAACGGGTCGCCTGGACCCTTCCCTCGGTTGCAGTAGAAAAGTGATTTTTGAACCTTTGCACCTCCGAGCCTGCCTCCTTCACAGGGACGAGTGGCCGTGTCGCGCCACTGCTGCTGTTGCTTGGCCCTCTCACGGGGCTCAGCCAGGTGCCTTCGTCAGGTGTTTCTGGTGGCAGAGTGTTTTTCCTGCCTTGGTACATGGCTGGTGGTTGTGGCACTGAGCCGGGGAAGAAGGGCATCCCTCTTCTGTGTAGCATGTACATTGCTGTGCTGCGTTTCCAAAAAGATGACTGTGGGGGGATCTTCTAAATACTTAAAGGGAGGGTGCCAGGGGGATGGGAACAGTCTTTTTTCAGTGGTGCCCAGTGATAGGACAAGAGGTAACGGGCACAGACTTGAACATAGGAAGTTTCATCTCAAAATGAGGAGGAGCTTCTTTACTTTGAGGGTAGCGGAGCACTGGCACAGGCTGCCCAGAGAGGCTGTGGACTCTCCGGCTCTGGAGACATTCAAAACCCGCCTGGACGCCATCCTGTGCAACCTGTTGTAGGTGCCCCTGCTCTGGCGGGGGAGTTGGACTAGATGATCTCCAGAGGTCCCGTCCAACCCTGACCATTCTGTGATTTTGTGAAGTCAGGGATAGCTGGAATTGTGTGCAGCTATTATGTTATAACATATTTGCGTCCGAAGAATTGAAATGGCACTCTTAGGTCTCTGAGATGCACAGATGGAAGTGATTGTCACATGTAAAATACCTTTATGTTGGAGGCAGAAGTGATTATTTTATATAGCTGCTAGGCCAGGGATCAATGAAAGGGCTGCAGTTTTAAACACTTTAAAAAAAAAACCAAAACAATGCAGAAATGCACAAGGGACAACTGATCTAGAGAACAGGAGGTGCTTTATCTTTTTTTTAAATTACCATTAAGAAGAAGCTTTAGAAAAATGAAAATTTTAGATTAAAAAAAAATAAATTTTAAATGTTAGCACCAGTTGATAAAAGTTTATGATTGATCAGTAGCTGACAATAGGATAACTTCAGTTCTATCTTTGTGTTTTCAGAAGAAATAAATATCACAGGATCGAGGATTTTCAACAGATTTAGGTCACAAAAATGGAGATGGTAATGTGGTTTTTCCTTATCATTATGAAGAATTAAGCTCAACAACCCCCCCGCCAACTGAAAAGCGAGACATATTCCTAGAGACACAGCTTATTTATAACATACCAAAGCAAATCTTCGCCTAGCATATGCACAGGGACAAAGATGTTGTCAGAGTCTCCAGAATAACTCAGTTGTTTAATATCCCAGTGACTATGATATTTTATAGTTAGCTTAACCAATGCATCCTATCAATTTAGCTCTCTGAGGCCACTTTGAATAACAAATCATCTCAGTGAGATTTTTAAAATTCTGAATATAACATTAATGGAGATCACAGTTGCATGCAATTTCTCTGAAATGGACAAAATGGTTACAATATATTGAAATATTAGAGCATCATGGGAATTGACATGACATTGTATGCTCAATATTGCACTAATTTTACCCTTGGTCATTTTAACTCTGATAGAAGAAATGGAAAAGGCCTTAAGATTTATTAGAGGAAACTATTCAAGAGCTGGATGATTAAAAGATGTTGCAAGGGTTTAGGTACTGTTCCTGGCCTATAAGGCAGATTGACTTTTGTGCAAACGCTAAGCCCAAGTGAAATTTTTGAGGTTCAATGTAAATGTCAGTCTCTGCTATAAGTCTCAGAAACCAGAGTTAGCAATTCTGCACTCTTCTTACATTCTGAAGATCAAAATGATCTAATATAATGGGGACAAAATATTGTAGGCAGGAATATTGAATTCCCTGGCAATGAAAACCGTTTCTTCGTTTTGTCTATTATTTCAAGCTATGTCCATGCCGAACATCTTGTAAAGCAAAGAATAACTGAACTTTTTGATGCTCCAATAACATTGTCAGCGCAAACTGTTCGCAGAGGAAAAAAATACTTAGAAAACATATACCTGTCTCTTCCTTTAACAGGTATCTTACTGCTTTTGTACTGGCAAATGTGATTAGATGATTGAATTATTAGATTATTAAATTATTATATTATTTAGGTTATTAAATTATATTATTTAGATTATTAAATAAATTATTAT